TGAGCTGGCAACATGCGCTTGCAGCCTAGAAAGCAAATTGTATCCTGGGCTGCATCAAAAGAAGTGTGGCCAGCAGGTCGAGGGAGGTGATTCTACTCCTCTGCTCCACTCTCATGAGTAGAGTACCTAGAGTACTGCAACCCATTCTGGGGTCGCCAGTACAAGACAGACATGGACCTATTAGAGCAGGTCCAGAGGAGGGCCACAAAAATGATCAGTGGGCTGGAACACCTCTCCTGTGAAGAAAGGCTGAGAGAGATGACATTGTTCAGCCTGGAGAAGAGAAGGCTCCAGGAACACCTTATGTAGCCTTTCAATATATAAAGGGGGCTTATAAGAAAGACAGAGAGAGACTTTTTACCAAGGTCTGAAGTGACAGGAAAATGCACGATGGTTTTAAACTGAAAGAGGGTTGATTTACACTGAGTATAAGGAAGAAATTTTTTATGATGAGGGTGGTGAACCACTGGAACAGGTTGCCCAGAGAAATTGTGGATACCTCATCATTGGAAGTGGTTAAGGTCAGGTTGGATGGGGCTTTGAGCAACCTGGTCTAGTGAAAGCTGTCCTTGCCCATGGCAGGGGGGTTGGACTAAATGATCTTTAAAGATCAATTCCAACCCAAACCATTCTGTGATTCTATCATACCTCAACTGAACAATCTGTTCTGTGCCTCAGCACGAAAAGGAGACACAAAGGGACACAGCGCTGAGAAAATAGTGACTGGCAGCCACTGAAACATAGCACAGAAAAAAATGACAAATAAAGGAAAAGGGTGGCATCTGTGCAACACTTTTGGACAGGGATGAGAAAGGAAGCATTTGGAGCAAGTGCGGGTGCTCTTCCCTGCTTTTCACACTTGGGTCAAGAGAAGTCCACTAATGCCCTCAGGGTAAGCTTCATTGAGGGTAAGCTCTGAATATGCTGCTTTTGGAGCAGCTGTCAGAACTGTACAAATCAAATGCCCAGAGAGGCTGGTGACACTAGTTTCAGATTGGGTCACCACTTTGCTGCAATACTATTATTGGACTGGGAATGTTGGATACTCTTTTGGTTGTCTTTGCTGCAAAGCATGAAACTGAAAATACATTTGCCCTTTGTAATATTGAAGAAGGAGACCCTTAGTAAGTGTATGTACGTAGTTGTTGGTAATTGCAGTCCAATGGTGTTTGGATAAGGTCATGTATTGTGTTTTGAGTAATTTTTGAACATTATACTGATAGTTGAACAGTTCCTCAGAAGCTGCCACATCCACATGTACATGTCTACATGCACATCCACAATGCACATCTCCATACCTGTGACTCAATCCTAAAAGGAAAATATAACAGTACAAAAGTCAACAATAAGTTACAAGAGTGCTTTTATTAAGACACCAAAACTCCGCTAAACAGACTCAGTCACGATAGCAGTTTCTGCTGAGCATGCAAAGTATCAAATACAAGCTACTGTTTTGCATTTCATCCTGAAAACTGGTGCTCAGCTTTTGTAAATGGCACAGCTCCACTGAAATCAATAGGCAACTCTCTAGTCCTGTCACTTTCAAGCAGTTCAGGATTGTAAGTACTAAAAACTAGAAAAATATTTATAGTAAAATAGCTTATCCTTCCACTGTGTGCGGAAGGCAAGCACATTATATATTTGAGAGCAAATTGAGCAAAAGTTAAGAGACTCCTACATAATAAAAATCTAATGGTTATGTTCATCAGACTCTAAGATTGCAAAGATAATTTGCAGTTTCACTAATGAGTTACAACCAAATGGATCCTTTTTTATATCAGGATCTGGTAACTGATATTTCAACAAGGAAAAATAAGTCAAAGATTTTTACTCCTTATAGATTCACTTGAATCAAAAGCAGAATGCAAATGATTACTCTGAAATGTATTGGTGTATTTAAAAGGTGTATATATAACCTCTAAGATCAATCAGTACGACCTTTTGCAAAATGTAGAAGTCCTTTACCCAGTAATCTTATTACCTAACAGAAATTGGACTAGGGCGATGGAAGCTAGCAGCTTTCCAATGCTATTCTGTACCAAAAAATCAGTACCTAAATGCTATGGCTACTAAGAGTAATTGTGAGTTCAAGTTAGTGACCAATTTCCACTAAGAGTTATTTATAATGGTGTCCATTGAGCTTAAAGAGGAATTAGCTTGTTCACTTAAATTACTGAATTACATGTGACCCAGACACAGCAGACTCTTATCACTGCGCAGGAGGAGTGTATGCAGCAATCAGAACCAAAGGCTGGTGGGGACAAGTTACCACACCGCTTTACTCTCCATCTTCTAACATGCTCACTGAGGTGAAGGTTTGGGGCAGCCGGGGAGTGAAAGAGTCCTGCAGGAGACACTTACTGTGTGGAAAAGATTTTTGTTCCAGTTTACCCAGCTGAAGAGACTGTTGTCATTCATGTCATTCTAATGTATGGAGCATGTAAATTAAACCTTTGCTGCTGCACTAACAGTAGGGTCTTGAAGCCAGGAAAAATTCAGCTCAAATTTATAACTATTCTGTTGTAATTGGAGTGCTCTCACTTAGGTGGGCAGTACACTCTGTGGCTTGACTGCACAATCATTGTGGTCTAATTAAACAGAATATGTAGGTACCAATTGACTTATCTGGAAAAACATGGGCTGCCAGTAGCAAAAATAGCTTCTTTTTTCTTTTTTTTTTTTTCATTGAGTCCTTGTCGATTAAAGAATTTACAGTCGAATCTCAAAACTCATGCTGAAGAACACTCCTAGTAGGTTAAGCCCCAGATTCATGGTGCCTTTTCTTTATTTGGTGGCAAATCCAATACTTGCTCTCCAGCTTCTGTATACTTAAGGCGTTGCACAATTAGGTCTTCAACGTTGCTGCAGCTCAAAGTTTCAACCTCACCTTAAGTCAACAGTGAATTACAAACTGGAAAGGAGATCTCTCTAAGGGTTTGCTGATTTACTTCCTGGAATATTTATAGAAACATGCAGCTTGTTAACAGTAATGGCACAAATGATGCTAAGATGGGCACATAGCAATGTGGCACAGTAGGAGAGCCAAATCTTGGAACTTGAATAGAGAACTATGAAGTCTTTCTTTTTTCCCTTCTATTTTATCCATGGAAAAAACTGCCAAAATTCACTTCAACCTGGAGCTGCAGTCACAAATAGTTCTTAGGACACCAGGGAACAGCCAGACCGCTAAAAAAAAAAAAAAAAGAGGGGGGATAGAAGCTTTTTGTATGTGACATTAATTTGGAAGAGTCAGTGTTGTAACCAGTCATGACCACCATTGTGAAGAGTAATGAAAGCCAAATGCTGAGTGAAGACAAGTTTCAGTTCTCCATGTGATGAGACACGATCCAACTAGAAAAAATAGAAAACAAACTAATCATGATTGAGAAAGGTAATCAACTACCTTCCAAAGAAAGTAAATACATAGGAAAGAAGAGCTGAGTAGTTCCAGCATCTAAAAGAAGCCATTAGCTAAGACTCCAGCACGATGTATAAGCGTTATGAGCCTGACAATATCCTTTATGCGACAACCTCATTGCACAACTCCAGAATTCCCATTATTATCCAGTACTGCAATCACCTGTGAACATTCATGAAAGCAGAATGATGAATGAAGACAAGCCATTCTTCTCTCTGTGGAGAGACTCGAGGCTTCATATATAGGTTTTAATTTAACGGACCTAGATATGCCTTTTATGCTGGATTATGGCTCCCTAGTGGGACCGGTATCACTGATGGAACTGTACAGCTGCTGGAGCTGTACCAAGGAGCCCCAGGTACCTTCCCTTCGGTCTCCCGACAGGCAGCCCTGCCCAGCCTTTGGGAAGCAATCAGAGCATCACCCTCACCTACAGCGATCTCCTAGGAGCTGCCCATAGATGACTACAGAGGGTGGTCTCCGTAATGTAAGACTAGGGGAAATAGAGCTAATAGTGACTATTCAGGACTTTGCAAGCAGATAGCTGGGATACACTCTTCCCTGTCCTTTCTCTGTGATATATATTAAGCGTTATTGTGCTTAGTGAAGCAAACTAAATTATCTGCAAATAATGATGATTCATGATGAGTCTCTGATGAATTTACTGTGGTGATGGCAGCTGCATTGTCATGTATATGAGGCCTCCATCAGGAAAGGGTTACTGACTAACTCTGGTAACAATGTCAACTAAGCCTGTTCCCAGGAACAGAATTCGATCAGATCTGCAGTAAACATCCTTGAGTTGTGAAGCAAAGGTGTTCTTTTCCAGCAAGCCAGCTTTCTCATCTCTCTCTCCTCCTCTTAAAGGGACAAACATACAAATGGTGGTGAGCAGCTAGAACACATTTTACAGAAAAAGTGCTGAATCCTACGGTGTTCTGGAAAAGTGTTAAATTCACAGGTTGCAGAGGCAGAATGTGTGGTAGTGATTAACACCCCTCAAAAATGTCTTTTCAGACTCTCTGCAAGCACTTGTAAGCACTGCTTATGGATTATCAATATTTCAAGCTCTCTTATGTCTAACATCCCACTATTTTCTTGAAAAACATCCCCCCCCCAAAAAAAAAAAATTAAACCCAAGCTTTTGCAGAAAGGGCTAACTTCTGAAGCAAATTAGCTTCTGAAGCAGATTTATAGAGAGAGTGGTAAAGTTTCTCTCCTTTATTACACTAATCCATGATCCAAAACCAAAAGTGATATGCTTTTTGTGGAAATGGTTATTGGTGTTCTTCTAAAGTGGTGTGTCATGTACTCTGACTGAGACCGAAGTCATGAAGGAAGATGAAGAAGAGAAGGTTGTCTTCCTCTTCTGTAGTCTGCAGCATTTGAAAACAGGTGAGAATAGTAGCAATTTCATTCTTACTTCGATGACCTTCACCCACAGCAAACAGGGCAGGAGGTTCAAATACCCTTAAACAGAGGAGGCTCATCTGCAAGTATTTAACCATTTCAGGAAAAGATAAACAGCTAAAAAAGGTAACTGATCATGATTCAGTACTCACATTTGGTAACTTGAAGATTGCTAATCGTAGAACACTTGGTAGCTGAAGTTGTCAGACTTGATTCTGAAGTTGTATCTTCCCGTCTTTCGCTGGTACTGGAAAATGAGAAGGCTCACAACTCCCAGCACAAAGACAAACACAGTAAAGGCAATGAGGATGATGTATCCAACTTCCAGTCCAGCCTCCTTCTCTCCCTTCAAATCGGATGCTTAAAAAAAAACAAGAGGTGAAAGGAAAAAGCTTTGAAATTCCTAAATATTTTCCTGGGGTAAGAAACAAGCCTTGCCTACAAATTAGCCAACATGCCTGTTGAAGCACAGAGCTGTGATACAGAAGTGAATCAGCCTTTTGGGGAGGATGATTCTCATGGAAAGGTCTCTGAGCCAGAGTCCAAGTTCTCTTTTTACATACAAGTATAGAGTCCCTGCAGACATGAGTGTGATGTGTCTTTGGAATTTGACTCTACAATTTTCTGTTAAAATAAGAATTAAAGGATCAGCACTGGTGACTTTTTGAAATGCTGCCTTACTTTCAGAATGACCCTAGAGGTGAAGTATTCTTCCATCTTAATCCTGCCCCTATTCATCTATGATTATTAAAAACCACTTGATTTGCTTTTATCTCATGTGTAACACTTCTTTAAACAAAAAGTATTTAGGGAAGGATTCTCCATGTGTGCTGGGTCTCTAAGCTCCCATTCTAGTCAGCAGAGATCTGGCTGGGGCAGTCAGTGGAGGCAGGCAAGTGAGTCACACTGTCTGGCAGACATGGCATGGGACCTGCCGGAGACCTATAGTCTTTTGGAATAGCACCCAGACACTGAGGGGAAGGAAAGAATGGGGCACCATGGGTCAGGAGCACTAAATGTGTGGGCAAGAGTCAAGTCCCTTGTTGCCAGCTGTCTCCCTCACCAGGAGGCTCCACTGACCATCGGCAGAACGTGTTCGCCTGGTTCACATGTAGACGCTTCCATGTATTTGTCCAAATCTGCAAGCAGAATCCCCTCTCCCTTTAACATTATGCCTCTATTCATGCTTGTACACTTACTCTTGCACGCTTCTAATTCATTCTTGTAAATGCTTGATGCACCTACAAAAACATCTATTTGTCTACATACATTTTCAGGACAGCACTTATTTAGCCGAGCAGTACCTGAGGTGCACAGATAATGCATACATGCCTGGCCAAAGGCCACCGTCGGCAGCCACAGAGGTACGCAACAGCGGTGTCCAAGCTACGTAACATCCAGGGCATCATTCCAAGACAGGCCAAAGCAGTGTTGTATAATATATTTAGGCTTATTTCTGAATTTCGGTATGAAACAAAGGAATAAAAAAGAAGATGCACAGTGGAAATGGCAGCCTGTAGCCAGACACAGACAGAACAGGCCTTCCTGAGGACATGTATCAATGGTCTTTGCTATAGCATGTGGCCAAGCAGTAGAGGCAGAGCAGTTAAAGCTTTTTTCATGTTTCACTGCAGCAGCTTAGCTGACATCATAACTCATGTTGTCTCCTTCAACAGAGAGATGCATATCACTGTCTAGGTCTAGCCTCACGCTTAAAATGCGATGTATCCAAATTGGAAATAGGAGACAATATCTAGTAGTGCCACCTTTGCCTAGGAATCGATGTAGTACAACCCAAATAAAGCTACCCTCACTAGAGTTCCTTTTGTGTAACGACCATTTTTCAATATTAGAAATGCATTGGGGTCTCCAGTGAAAATGGGAGTGAGATCTACTTGATGTAACTGCTGTACAAAGAAAGTTCTATTAATTGCTAAATTTTGAAAAAAGAACTAATTCAGAAATTAACACTGAAGGCCTATTCTAACAGACTAATACTTGCATATAATGGAAAAAATACAATATGCTAAGTCAGAGCCAGTTTCTAAGTCCAAAAGAACATTGTGCCCATCACAGCAGAGGAGAAGAAAATACCCTGAACCCACTAACAGTCCAGCATTAACTTACCTCGCTGGTCAGAAGAGTGTTAAGTGACTGGCAGAACAGGCAACCAGCAGGAGGAAAGGGGGTCACTTCTGTCTATTCACAGTAGCCATGTGTTAAAACTCTGATACTGGTGTGTACAAATACTCTCAATGAGTGTTTTACGCTAATAAGGTATGAATGCAAATGGCTGGAGGAGGCCAAATGACTGAAAATGTTAGGGGCCACAGGTGCCCTTGAAAACATCAACTTGGGGTAAATGCAGAAGAGGCAGATGCATAACAAATTAGACCTTGCTTGTACTCAGTGCTGGTGTTCTCTCTCTATTAACCTGTACTGTACCACTCCATCAGATTAACCAAGGTGCTGTGCATCAGCTGTGCTCTGCCACTCTCCCTCACGGTAGCAATGAAGTCAATGCCAGGGAGTCTAAGGAAGCACAACAACACAATCTCTTATCCCCTCTGATTTTGGACTCCAGAGCTCAATATAATTCCGGTCTAACAGCAGTGTAGAGTAAATATTGAAAAACTGATTGCAATCTAAAAAATTCAAGCTACTTTCACACTTTACAATTGTAATAGCTATCCGATTTTGTGGCCGTTGTACTTGCTACCCTGTGCAAATAGCTACCCGAAGCACTTTATCCTCTTCCTTTCTATATTCCCTTGACAATCTGACAGTCACTTCACCGAGGAGGGCACATGCTTTTCCACACTGCCACATGGCTTCAGTAAGAACACCTGCTCTTCAGAAAAATATGCAGAGGGGCATGAAAACCTTGTATCACAGGTCTTCAGGTTCCTTTGCCAGTGAAAAAGAACCTTGAAATGACAGTTACTCTGTGTCCCCTTTTTGTAAGCGTCTATTCATAACTCACCAGCTGATTTACATAGGGGTCCCCAAGATGTTCTGTACGCAGCGATGGTTTCACCAGTCTTCAGGGATCGAACCGCATGGCATCTCTGCAACAATCAATTCAAACTCCAATGATTAATATGGCTTACTAATTAAAAATACAAAGCCCTCTGATGAGTATGTGAAAGCCCAGTGCTATTCTCACTCATTGGGGTTTTTGTTTCTTAATGTTATGCTTTAATGTTAAACTGAAATGAGCACCAAATGGAAGTTCAAAAGGAATGGCATTAGGGAAACATCAGTATAAAATCTGTAATTAGTCACACTGGAAAACACTGCTGTGAACAGACATTCCACACAGACAATCTCTTTCTTTTCATTAACTTTCTGTTTGTTTTAGAGAAACCTTATGGGAGAACAAATTTCTCACTCTTTCTATATGCCAGAGTTTTGCAAACATTTTTGTTTGGATGTTTCTACTGCCCATGGCAGGCACAGCAGGTACTACAACCAGCACCAGCAAAAGGCAACTTTCAGCCCCTGCCAAGCTGTGTGTCATTTTGAAGCAACGCACAACTCTTCAGTGACATATGAACTACTAATTGGGGAACTACTAGTTTGAAAGCCCTGCCCTGTGAAACCTTGGGGATTAGCTGCTTTAGCTTTGTGTGAGCAGCACTTGCAGAATACACAGCACACTCATCTTCTGCACACTTCCTCAGTAGCACTGTTCAGTTTGCTTGCTACCTTTTTGTTTTAAGTTGCAACCTAAAGGTCTCTGATGGGAACCATAGCCTGCTGAGATTATTCAAAAGATACTGTGGCTCTCCTGGAAGTGCACATAAAAACAGAGAAACGGCAGTACCATACTATAATCAGGAAAAGAAAGCAGGGAAGTGCAAGGGTGTCTTACCAGCTTGTCAGCACAAGAATGTCTCACCAGTGTTACCAGCCTGGTACACTGAAAAACCTCTACAATCCACTGTCAGCAAGTCTCTTTAGGTGGGTCAGCCCCCAGAAAAATACCCATGTAGCTGCGACTTTGGCTTGCCCTCGAATAGCTTTCCCAGCTAGGCGGATCCATTAGAGAATACGGTTACATAGCTGCTCCCTGATGTCGATGATTTTTTGGTTCCACGTGGCCATGGAGCAGCCACGTTCCACCAAACATATACATGGTGGTGGCACATCGCTCCTCTTCCCATTCAAAGTCATGTTCCTTATTCATTCCTTACTACATTGCTCCCCAGCCTGTCTATTTTTTTCTACTCTAACCTTTAGAGCACCTTACTCTCTTCTGCCAAGAAAACAAGGAATAAAAAGACTGGGTAAGAAGAAATAATAGAAGATATGTTTCAGTTTTGTGGGCAAAGAGATGAAGCAAATCTGCCCTGAAGCAAGTCAGTATTCTCCAGAGTAGCAAACAGATCAGAGGATCAGATCCCAGAGCCTGGGCACTTTCCCAGCCATCTCACATTATTTCCAAATATACTCGTTCTTGCTCCAATTTTCCTCAATCTTTGCACCTCCTGCAGCTCCTCTTCCCTTCTTTGTGAAAGCCATTGTCATCCTGTGTAGATGTGCCTAGTACTTGTCTTCTCCGCAACTACCTGAAAGAAGGTTGTAGTGAGGTGGGGGTTGGTCTCTTCTGCCAAGTAACTAGTGATAGGACGAGAGGAAATGGCCTCAAGTTGCGCCAGGGGAGGTTTAGACTGGACATTAGGAAAAATTTCTTTACTGAAAGAGTGGTCAGGCCTTGGAACAGGCTGCCCAGGGAAGTGGTAGAGTCACCATCCCTGGAAGTATTTAAAAGACGTGTAGATGAGGCGCTTAGGGACGTGGTTTAGTGGGTATGGTGGTGTTGGGTTAACGGTTGGACTTGATGATCTTAGAGGTCTTTTCCAACCTTAATGATTCTATGATTCTATGATTCTATGATTCTAAGCATAACATTTTAGTCTCAATCTAAGATACTGAATTCACTAACTTTTCATAGGGGGCAAATTTTGCATAGGAGAATGAACAGTATATCTCATATATATGTATGAATAACATAGAATATATGAAAGAAGAGGGCCTCACTGATTAACTCTGCTGTGCCTTGTTTATCACAGATGTCAATCTCAATCAAACCTCATCTTGGGCTAGCAGAATTACCCCATCACAGACCCCTGTAATTCAGATCAAAGCCAGTCCTTTAGTTAACCTTCTTCCTAAACTCTAATCCATACAGCGAAAGCCTGCTCTAACAGCAAACCCAGCGGCTCCTAGCAAAGCAACTCTTTGATTCCTTACAGCAGCCACACAGTCCCCGTCCTGCCCATCCCTCCCGTTCCCCTGCCTTGCACCCACCACCATGTCCCTCCTCAGCTGTGCAGGACATACGGTGAACTCAGAGAGGGCACCACCTCCTCCAAAGGAGGGCATAGGCCGGGCGTTGCTGAAGCCCTGATTTTAACACGCAAATTCAGCTGTGAAAACTGGAGCCATCTTTCCATTTGTCAGTCGTGTTTCCTGTTCCTACCTTTTTTTTTTTTTTAATCTGGAGGAAGCTTTATACTTTGAGAAAGGAAACAAGTATCTTCTGCTAGCCATTTTTAATCTTTTAGGAAGAGATCGTTTGCTTTATAATGGGCTTAAACTGAGTTATTTAGAGCTAGAGGAAAGTATTAAACAATGGAGCAACACCAAACTGCTAATGAAAACATCCTTGATAGAAAAAGAGCCAGGAAGGCTGGCAGAGAGAGAGGAGAATTCCTGTGTGTCTGCTATAAAGAAAAAAAAAAGCCATCAGAAAACCCTATTTTTTCTTATTTCTATGGTAGCAACACATTTTTAGATGAAGCAATGTGTATCACTTAGAAGTAAAAAGAAACAAAGCAATGCTTTGGAGCACAGACAATTAGAAACTGAAGTTGTTATCAGAACATGGTTTGGTTTATTGCTTTAAAAAGCAAGAGGGTATTAAAAAGCCATAATAAACTCTATTAGAGTCACAGCCCTAGAAACTTAATACCACTGAGCTTCCGTTCCTGGCACCTAAACTCTCACCTGGAGAAGCAAATCTCCAGGGGGAAAAAAAGGAGAGAAAAACATCCCAAAT